CCCCCCAGCTGCAGCTCTGGGGGGCTTACCGCCTCGAGTCGCCTCTCGAAGGTGGCCTAAAAGTGGGAGGCTTTGCTCCGTGCTGCGGAGGAGCAGGGGCTGCTCTTTTAGTGGCGTGCAGGAGGTGAGGGTACCTGAGTGACTTGCCCTTCCAGGCAGAGCTGACCTCCGCTCCTAGTTTGCCCGCTTCCCTGGGACGCGAGGCTGGTGTGGTGTAGCAGCATGTTGAATTTGGCCTGCTGGCTCTGGCGGTAGCGGGGAGGAAGCCAGGAGGACTTCAGTGTGATTCTTAAGAAGAGATTGCAGGACCAGGAGTTAAAAATGCCTTCTCCCTCTTTAGCTGAAACCAGTGGAGTGTCACTTTGTAAGCTGTGCCACAGACTTCCAGGAGAAATTGGTTTGTGCTCTGAAGCACTGATGGGTGTCAGTGGTACTCGCTGAACTTGGCAGACTGTTGCCACTGTGGATGCTGTGCCTGGCCGCAGGTATTTGTTTCCAGTTGTAGAATCCTGTAGGTTGGGGTTTATTTTCTCTCTCTTTTCTTTTTTTTTTTTTTTTTTTTTTCATTTTTCCCTTCACAACAGTCTGTAGAAAAGAGTTTGAGGTACTAGTCAAGATGGCTGTGTGTATGATGTTTTACGTATTGTAAGCTAGCTGGCTCTAGGTTTAGAGGTACTTGATATTACTTTACATCAACAGGGTAGAATAATGGAGTGGCTTTTCAGCATGCTATTAATTAATTTTTAATTAATTTTACTTAATTCTTCCTGATGCTCACAAGTCACTTATTAATTGCTTTTGGGTTTACTGTTCCAGGTGAGTTTCTGGGTTTCAGTCTCCCCTCTTCTGCAAGCTGATAAAGGTAAAGACAGAGCTGACGTTCTCTGGGCTGTATCTATTTCCCTTTACCCAGAGGAAAGAGAAGCCAGTCAGGGCCATGTGTGTTGATTGGCAGCAATGGAGAGGAGCTGGACATCATACACTGTCTGGGGAGAGAAGTGGAATAAGGCAGCTGCAGGTGTTGAAGGTTTAGGAGCAGAGACTTTTGCTAAGACAGTTGGGCAGAAGTGGAGGGCTTGATTTGTGGTCAGTGAACAGTTTCTTTTTGTTTCAGGGCATCTGACTGGAAACTGGATCATCCGGACTGGACAGGGCGGCTTCGTGTCACCTCCAAAGGCAAAACTGCATACATAAAACTGGAGGATAAGGTTTCAGGTAAGGGAAAGGCTGTGGCTTGGCAAGACTGCGACTATGATTGCTACTTATGAGCCTGTGCTTCTAAGCCTGCTCAGAGCTGCGCATGGCAGCCCCGGCCATACTTTGGCAAAAGGTTGCTCTCCTTAACACCCGATTCTTTGTCTGCAGGAGAACTCTTTGCCCAGGCTCCTATAGATCAATACCCTGGCATTGCAGTAGAGACTGTGGCGGATTCCAGCCGCTATTTTGTCATTCGAATTCAGGATGGGACTGGTGAGTTGAGGGGTCGTGTATGTGCCAAGTGCTAAGGGTGGAGGAGACTTAGCCTGATGGAGCTGGGTGTTGGTGAAATGTGGTTGGGAGTGCTGAAAACACTAGGTAATGTGTCTGGAGGTGTAGGAAGGCAAGGTTAGCAGAGGAGGGTTTGCTACATTGCACAGAGTCCAGGGGCTGGGAAGGAACATTCAGTTTCTGAGAGTGCTGGATGGGAAGAAGGGTGCATCCTGAAGGCTAGGAACAATGAATTTCTGTGAGCTGCTGATGTCCAGCTGCAGGTGTGTCAGAGGGAGGTAACGCAGAATGGTTTAGGAGAAGCGGAAGGATTTTGGAGTGAATGAACACAAGGGCCCATTTGCAGGGCACCTCCAGTGACTCCTCCTGTCTCCTTGCTAGGACGAAGTGCTTTTATAGGCATTGGCTTCACGGATCGTGGTGATGCCTTTGACTTCAACGTCTCTTTGCAGGATCACTTCAAGTGAGTTGTGCTCTTCTGGAATGCTGTTTTTTCCTCTGGCCTGTAGAACATGGTGGGTGGTGGTGCATGTTCATTTAGTGCAGGCTTCCTTAGGATGGTCATGAAGCACTGCTCTGGCTCCCTCAGGGACGCTTGATTGTGCTGCCAGCTGCCATGCAAGCTGAGAGTCCTGCAGGGTCAGATCTGTAAGTCTTAAGCTTAGGTTCTGTGATGATACAGGTGCAGTGTTAGTCTCTTGTAAAAAGTACAGCTTTTTGCTGTACTACACTGGAAGTAGGGAGGTAGCTGTTTTGTAAAGGCAAGGTAGTTCCTTGGTAGGGTGGGGAGAGGAACCATGCATTTTTCTGAAACCCTGTTCCCCTTTGCCACAAGGTCATACATCTTCCTCTATTCTTTTTAGGTGGGTGAAGCAAGAGACTGAGATCTCTAAGGAGTCCCAGGAAGCTGACACACGTCCCAAATTAGACTTGGGGTTTAAGGAAGGACAGACCATTAAACTGAACATTGGGGTAAGTAGCCCAGTTTACCCTGCTTATTTCTCTGGATAAGCCAATTGAGACTATTCCTCATTTGTTCTTTCTTTTCATACAGAATATGATGACAAAGAAAGGAGGACCAGCCAAACCCCGTGTGTCTGGATCAGGGGGCCTAAGCCTGCTGCCACCCCCACCAGGAGGCAAAATTGCAGTCCCTCCTATACCTCCCCCTTCTTCCACAGCCATTGCCAACCATGTCACACCACCACCCGTGCTGAAATCCAGTAACATGAACAGTGCAGGTAAGTATTAGTATAGAGCAAACAGCCTGTCAGGCACTAGTAGGTGCATAGAGAGGACTGAGGCCTGCTTCAAGGAACCGGTGTTCTACCTAGTGCCAGCAGTGCCCTGTGAGACATGATGTGTCCTGAGGGCTTTGCTCTCTTTGACTTGAGGATCTCCATGCTTGTTTAGTAGTAACCGCTTGTTCCCCTTGTAAGGAGGAGTGTTGTAGCTCTTGTCCTTGCAAAATGAGAAACCAAGCGACTTGGTCAAAACGATTGGGGGTGGAGGTGGTGGGGTGGTGTATGAAATCTAAATAGCTGGATTTTTCTGATCTTGTGTGTGCTTTAGGGACTCTGGCAGAGCTGTATCCAGAAAAGTACTGCACTATTTTGCAGAGAAATACAGATAGACTTGTGGTTGTTGAAAGATGCGGGAAAAGCACCTCCTGAGTGGCTTTGAATAGGGAGAGAGAAAGCTTCAGAATGAGCAGCAGAAAGAGATGGGAAGTGTAGTGGGATTGTGGGTATAGTGGGTTATTTTAAAAACATGCATATAATTTTATATTATTTATATATAAAAATATATATGTTGAACTACATACATATGTACATACATATATACACACATATGGGGGTGTGTGTGTGTATATGAAGTTCAAGGTCCTGCACCTGTGGTGAGGCAATCGCCAACATCTGTACAGGCTGCAGGATGAATGGATTGAGAGCAGCCAGCCCTGCAGACAAGGACTTGGGGGTACTGGTGAATGAAAAGCTGGACATGAGCTGGCAATATTGGTCCAGAAAGCCAATCCTATACTGGGTCGCACCAGAAGAAGTGTGGCGAGCAGGTCTAGGGAGATCTCTCCTACTCCGCTCTCATGAGACTCCACCTGGAGTACTGCATCCAGCTCTGGGATCCTCAGTACAAGAAAGACATAGACCTGTTACAGTGGGTCAAGAAGAGGGCCGCAAAAATGGTCAGAGGGCTGGAATTCCTCTCCTGTGTAGAAAGGCTGAGAAAGTTGGGGTTGTTCAGCTCGGAGAAGAAAAGGCTCCAGGGAGACCATATTTTCAATATATAAAGGAGGCTTGTAAGCAAGATGTAGAAAGACTTTTTACCAGGGCCTGTAGTAAATAGGGCAAGGGGCAATGGTTTTAAACTGAAAGAAGCTAGATCTAGATTAGATACAAGGAAGAAATTCTTTACAATGAGGGTGGTGAGACACTGGAACAGGTTGCCCAGAGAAGTTGTGGATGCTCCATCCCTGGAAGTATTTAAGGCCAGATTGGACAGGGCTTTGAGAAACTCTGGTTTAGTGAAAGATGTCCCTGCCCATGGCAGAAGGGTTGGACTAGATGATCTTTGAAGGTCCCTTCCCACCCAAACCATTCTGTGATTCTATAACGAAGAGCTTGCTCTAGTCTTCTGGATGCTGTATGCACTTTTAGTGTGACCATACAGTGGTGTCTGGATAGCTGATAACACTCTTGGGAAGGCATAGGCTTCAGCAGTGCTGTATAGTGTGACCATACAGTGGTGTCTGGATAGCTGATGGGAAGGCATAGACTTCAGCAGTGCTGTACCCTGATTGGAGTGAGAAGAAACCATAAGCTTCTGAACAGAGCTGGGCTCCAGTACATGATTTGTACTGTTAAGGTGATGCCTGCTTGGCAACTGTTAT